GAGGGAGCGGCGCTGCCGCGCCCCGGCCGGTTCCCCGCGGCGGAGAGGGGTGACGCTCACGCACCGCCGAAAAAGCCCCGAAGCCCTTTTCCAGGCAAAACCAGAAACGAGCAGCCCGCGGGCCTGTGTGAAACGGGGGAACCGACTCTGGGCTGCAGGAGAAAGGGAGCTCGAAGGTAAAGTCGAAGGTGAACGGGGTTAGGGCCATGAAAACTTACGGATGATGGAAGCACGGAAGATGCGAAGCGGTAGGGCCAGGAGAAAGCAAAACAAAACACGCAAAAAAAAAAATATAAACAAACCGCACAAAGAGAGCGTGCGGGTACCTTCCGTGGCTCCACCGGAGGGTCGGCGTGGCAGCCCGCCACGGGCAGCTCCCTGCGCACCGGAGAGCCCACGGCCGAAGCTCTCCTCCTCTCCAAAGCGCTTTGCTTTTCTTCTTTAGTCTCTTAAAGCCTAAAAACTCGCAGGTCCTTCGCCACGGGTTATCAAGGCGTTTGACTGACAGCACGTCGCCCGGCTCCACCACGTTTTCCGACGGCGGTGCCCAGCTGGCGTTGCAGCGCTGTGGCTTCGGTGGGGTGACCCCATGGGAGGAGTCCGCCACGGCGGTCCGCTGTGTAAAGGCTGCTCGTGGTGCCTAAGGACACTGTTGCAGAACCGTACCCCCAAATTCCAGTTGCAAAACTGTGTTGAAAACGCGTCCTCCAATTTTGATTTCGTAGCCGGTGTTCTAAAAACTACTCGTGGTACCATTTTACAGACTTTTGCGGACTCGAAGTACTTACTGGCGTTGGCTTCCCAAACATAGGTCTTAAAAGATTTTCTTTGTTTCTCTAGTCAGTCACTTCTATCGTTTTGGGGTACAATCAAGATTCACAGGTTTTGCATGCCTGTATGATAGATTTGACCACTCTCTTTTTGTTCGTTAAACATCAGTGTTGCATTGATATTCTGGTATAGTTTTAGGAAGAATTTTGGTAAGCATGGCCGGTTTTGCAGATGAAACGTAAACCCACTGTTTTTACTCCATACCCAGCATTACTTTTGGCAAGAGTAGTTGCGTTAACCGCACTGACTTCACTAACTTTCAGTTTGCATAAGAACATTGTGTCCTTATGAACTGTCTGTAATATGCCCTAGACATCACTTTTCACATTGTCATTTTTTTATATCAATACCTTGCAGTGTCCCTAGAAAGTCTTAACAAACATTTGGAGCATCATATTCATAGCGATAAGGAAGATGGAGGATAGGATCAGAGAGAACAGAAAGGGAGAAAAAAAGAATGTAACGACAGTCTCACCTGAAAATGGAGGTTTGATTGAGTTAGAGAAGCTCTGCAATGCTTCTAGCTCTTCGCCTTCCACCCTTCGCTACTGCCAGTCAATCAGCAACGTATTTTAACATGCTGATATTTAGGGTTCAGTAATCCTGAAGGTCAAAGACCTTGTGTTTTAGAAGAACCAGGTGATATTCTGCTCCCTAAACCCCAGTAACTATGTCTGAAATCCAGCCTGCAATGCCATTTGACACTGCATTGTAATAACGTTGGAATGTATTACTAAATAAGTTGCTGCGTATCTTAGAATATTTTGTCAGCTGTAGATAGGAGTCACAAAGACTTGCTAAATATTTTCCAGAGCTTGAGACTCAAGGTCAGACCTATCCTGTAGATTTACAATACCTAATATTCTTCTTTGTTTCGCATTAATTTAAAAACTAATGAGAGGAAATATTTGTGAAGAAAGGCCCTTGAAAGCTTTTCCATTTTTCAGTCTGAGTCAATTTATCTGATAAATGTTCTTACCTTTTCATGTAAGCCTTGTTCCTTTTATATCCTTAGACTACAATAACTATTATTTTAAAAACCCCAACAGTACTCACAACAATAATAAATTACGTAAGCTCTGAATTCCCTTGCAAGGGGTTAGGAAAGTCATTAAGGACAAAGAATATCAATACTTTCCAATCAAATACAGTACAAAAGTAACCATATAAAATACAATCAAAAGGAGGTTTGGTATACTTTTCCAAATGTACAACAAGAGGTAATAATGTATTGTTTTCCATTATATTTCCTTGTTATTACTGAAAATGTATATGACAGACAAGCAAACGCCTTTACAAGAAAATTGGCATAAAGTTCAGTAGCAAAAGTCGCAGTGAGAAGAGGAAGAGGATGCTGAAGTGTGTTGAAACCTGTAAGCTTTGAAATAGGAAGGAGTTTCTTTCAAGAAGCAACAAAGGCAAGTACTGTTCTGCTAGTCAAGAAACACTGAGGGATAAAATGCATACTCTAAATAAAATAGCTACAGAAGCTTCCCACTTGATTCAACCTAAGATTTATTTCTCATATTATAGTAAATTCATATGTTTATCCAAGTGTACCAAACAATATGTTAATTCAGTTGTTTATTTTGGGCTTTCTTGCAGACTTTGGAAATACTACTCAAAGTGATGTAATCAGGACAAGAAATGCAGCTGGTTGGTTTTGGCTGGAAGAGCCAATGCATCTGATTATTCAGCTGTGGTTTTATGCACCAAGATGTAATGTTGATTTACTTTTGACATCTTGCTGTTTAATATGTTATGATAAAATAAACCCTAGTTTACTTTATGCCAGAAACTGCTGGTTAGAAAGAAAACAAGTAAAACTCGTAATGAAAGTTTATTGAGCTTGCTGAAA